AGAACTTGTGGACAGAAAAGTCAGTGGGATCCCAGTTGCCATCTCCAGCACACAGCCTGCAGCCAGGGAGATGCTCCTTAGCTTATTGAACAGAAAGCTTTCTAAATATTATTATTATACAAGTAATACATGCTTGGAGGCCCTGAGTGGCACAAACGGTTACCCACTCCACTACTAGCAGAAAGGTCAGCAGTTCGAACCCACCCAGAGGCGCCTTGGAAGACAGACCTAGGGACATGCTTCTGAAAGGTCGCAACCTTGAAGACCCTATGGAGCAGTTCTACTCTGCACACATGGGGTCTTCATGAGTCAGCATCTATTCAACAGCGACTAATAACAACAAGGATAACAATATCTGCCTATATATGGGGTAAGCACAAAATACAGGTTAACAACAACAAAAAAAATTTTAAAAAATCCACTTCCAATCCAACCACGAATTTTGAAGGATAACCTTTTGGATTTTTCAACGCATATATTCATAGATTTATATAACAGATAATATAATAGGCGTATACTACACAAAACACTTTACAGTCCACTTTGTTATGGAGGTATAATTCATATACCATAAAATCCACCTTTTTAAAGTCTACAATTCAGTGGTTTTTAGTGTAGCCACAAGGTTGTGAAACCATCACCATTACCTACTTGCAGAATATTTTCGTCATGTGAAAAAGAAACCCCTTACCCATTAGCAGTCACTCCCTACTCTCCCTACCCTCATCTCCTGTCCACCACTAATCTATTTTCTGTATCTATGGATTTGCATATTCTGGACATACAATATAAACGGAAGCATACAATAGGTGGCCTCATGTGACTGCTGCCTTTCACTTAGCATAATGTTTTCAAGGTTCATCTATGCTGTAGCTTGTATCAGTACTTCATCCCTTTTTATGGCTGAATACTATTCCATTGTATGGATATACCGCATTCAATTTCTCCATTCATCCATTGATGGAGATTGGAGTTACTTTCAACTCTTTTGATACGAAGAATAATGCTGCTATGAAGATTCCTGTACAAGTTTTTGAGTGAACATGTTTTTAGTTCTCTTGAGTATATGCTTAGTGAATAGCTCAGTTGTATGGGAACTCTATGTTTAACTTTTTGAGGAATTGCTAAACTGTTTTGTATAGCAGCTGCACCATTTTACATTCCCACCAGCAACACAGAAGGGTTTCAGTTTCTCCACATCCTCACCAGCACTTGTTACTATCTGTCTTTTTGATTATAGTCATCTTAGTGGGGTGGCGTGGTATCTCGTTGGGTTTTGATTTACATTTCCCGAACGGTAGTCTTGGAAGAAGTACAGCCAGAACACTCCTTAGAAGCGAGGATGGTGAGACTTTGTCTCAGGGACTTTGGACACGTTATCAGGAGGGACAATTCCCTGGAGAAGGACATCATGCTTGGTTAAGTAGACGGTCAGGGAAAAGGAGGAAGACCCTTGTCATGGTTTGAATTATGTCCCCCAAAAAATGTGTGTATCAGTTTGGCTGGGTCATGATTCCTGGTACTGTGTGATTTTCCTGTATGTTGTAAACCTGCCTCTATGATGTTAATGAGGGAGGATGAGTGGCAGTTGTATTAGTAAGGCAGGACCTGATCTACAAGACTGGATTGTGTCCTGAGGCAATCTCTTGAGATATAAAAGACAGAAGTGAGCAGTGAGACAGAGGAACCTCATACCATCAAGAAAGCAGTGCCGGGAGCAAAGCGCGTCCTTTGGACTGGGGTCCCTAGTCCGGGGGAACATCGATGAGAAGGCCAAGAGAGAGAAAGCCTTCCCCTGAAGCTGACACCCTGAATTTGGACTTTCAGCCTACCTTACTGTGAAGAAATAAATTCCTCTTTGTTAAAGCCATCCACTTGTGGTATTTCTGTTACAGCAGCACTAGATGACTAAGACAACCCTCAGTGAGATGGATTGACACAGTGGCTGCAACAACGGGCTCAAGCATAACAACAATTGTGAGCATGGTGCAGGACCAGGCAGTGTTTTATTCTGTTGTACATAGGGTGGCTATGAGTCAGAACCGACTGGACGGCACCTAACAACAACAACAGTGCTTAATGTCAACCAACAGAAAACCAGAACTGAAACAGAAGCTGAAAGAACTGAAAAAACAGTTCAAGCCGTGAGTTGCAATACTTAAGGATTCTATCAGGGAAAATATTAAACGACTCAGGAAGCATCAAAAGAAGTTGGGAGGAATACACAGAATCACCAAAAAGAATTGGTTGATGTTCAACCATTTCAGGAAGTAGTATATGATCAAGAACTGATGGTACTGAAAGAAGAGGCCCAAGCTGCATTGAAGGCATTGGTGAAAAACAAGGCTCCAGGAATTGATGGAATACCAATTGAGATGTTTCAACAAATGGATGCAGTGTTGGAAGCACTCACTCATCTATGGCAAGAAATTTGGAAGGCAGCTACCTAGCCAACTGACTGGAATAGATCCATATTTGTACCCATTCCAAAGAAAAGTGATCCAACAGAATGTGGAAATTATTGAACAATATCATTAATATTACACACCAGTAAAATTTTGCTGAAGATCATTCAAAAGTGGTTGCAGCAGTACATCAACAGGGAACTGCCAGAAATTCAAGCCAGATTCAGAAGAAGACCTGGAAAGAGGGATATCATTGCTGATGTCAGATGGATCTTGGCTGAAAGCAGAGAATACCAGAAAGATGTTTACCTGTGTTTTATTGACTGTGCAAAGGCATTCAACTGTGTGGATCATACAATTATGGATAACATTGCGAAGAATGGAAATTCCAGAACACTTCATTGTGCTCATGAGGAACCCGTACATAGACCAAGAGGCAGTGGTTTGAACAGAACAAGGGGATACTGTGTGGTTTAAAGACAGGACAGGTGTATGTCAGGGTTGTATCCTCTCATCATACTTATTCAAAATGTATCCTGAGCAAATAATCTGAGAAGCTGGACTACATGAAGAAGAATGGGGCATCAGGATTGGAGGAAGACTCATGAACAACCTGCGTTATGCAGATGACACGACCTTGCTTGCTGAAAGTGAAGAGGACTTGAAGCGCTTACTGATGAAGATCAAAGACCACAGCCTTCAGTATGGATTACACCTCAAAATAAAGAAAACAAAAATCCTCACAACTGGACCAATAAGCAACATCATGATAAATGGAGAAAAGATTGAAGTTGTCAAGGATTTCATTTT